TGTGGCACCATGAAGAGAGCAACAATACCAACCAACCACAGCTCCCAGGGTCCTAACCACCAGCCTGGGAGCACTTATGGAGGGATCCAGGGCTTTAGCTGAATATGTAAGAGTGGAGGGCCCTGCTGGGCATAGGTGGAAGAAGAGAACCTTGACCTCATGAAGGCTGGGTGCCCCAGGGGGTGGGAATTTTGAGGGTGGGGAAGTGGAAGTGGCGGGGTTAGGTGGGGGTTACATACACGGAGAAGAAGGAGGAGGGGTAAGGGGATGGGGGGTTCCCGGGTGGGTGGGGGGTGGGGTAAGGGGATAAAAAATGAAATGTAAAAAAAATATACAAAAATATATATATATATATATATATATATATATATATAAAAGAATCCATACAGGTCAGTAGACAAGAAATACTGGTTGAGTTCCTCTTGTAAGGTTCTGAGAAATAGCTTCTCTCCACTCAGAATCTTTATCAGCTTCCATGCCTCTAATTGTGCCAGACATTTTGGGTTGTATCTACTGGTAGAGATAAAACAAACTAACTTCCTGGGCACTTTTGAGTATTTGCTTCTGGGTGAGTCTATTTCTTCTACATAGAACTAAGCCTGCCTTATCTAAGACTTGTCCTATAATATGTCTCTGGAATGAAAAAAAAAAAGAAAAAAGAAAAATCTGTGTGGTAGCACACATGTTAATTTCAATATTAGGGAAACTGAGTCAAGAGGGTTGTAAATTTGAGGTCAACTTGGGTTACATAGCAAAGCCCTGTCTCAAAAACAGAAAGTGAGTAATTATGATGTTGCTTTTAAAATAATGTTTTACTTTTAAAAAGCATATGCTTTTATATGTGTATTTCCTAATTAAAAAATAAAACTGGTCTTGTTTCTATGACTCGTCCTTAATAAGGCCATATTGACATTCAGGTGTTTCTTCTCCTCTGTGCCTCTCTTTCTCTTAATCCTTGTGCTTAAGCCTATATTGAAATATCTTTATTAACACTCTCCTCAAATGAAAGTTTATTTAATGCATGAAGAAGCGCATGCTAAAAACAACAGTACTTCATTTCATTTTGTGTTACTTCCTATCCCTGTTGGTCGTGGAGTCCTGTTTCCATCTTTATGCTCTTGACAAGGCCATAGCTGTCATAGCGTTGTCATGTGCATGCTGGCAGGACTCCATCCTGTGGACATTAGTACAATAATTTCAAATCTTTCTCTTTATTTCTTTTAATATTTACTTTTTGGTCATAGTTATTTGTGTTTGTATTTCTGTGCACATGCATATATATACATGTTTCATGCCATGGCACACATGTAGAGATCAGAGGACAACTTGTGTGAGTTAATTCTCTCCTTTTACTATGTGGGCTCTGGAGATTGAACTCAGACTTGCTGGCAAGTGCTCTTACCTGCTGACCCATGTCACTAACCCTTCTTTCTTATTTTAGCTAATATATGTATGCAGATCTTTCTTGATTTCTTTTTATCTTTAGAGACTGTGGTGGTTTGAATAAGTATAGCCCCTATAGACTTATGTGTTTGAGTGTTTGGCTCTTAGGGAATGGCACTATTGTGAGGTGTGGCCTTGTTGGAGGAAGTGTGTCACTGTTGGGGTGGGCTTTGAGATCTTTCTAGTGTGGTACACAGTATCCTTCTGCTGCCTGCAGATCAAGATTTAGAACTCTCAGCTCCTACTCGAGCACCATGCCTGCCTGCATGCTGCCATCCTTCCGGTATGATGATAATGTATTAAACCTCTGAAACTGTGAGCCAGTCCCAATGAACTGTTCTCCTTTATAAGAGTTGCCTTGGTCATGGTGTCTGTTCGCAGCAACAAAACCTTAACTAAGACAGACACTACCTGACTTCCTTCTATGGAGGGGGACTATACTGTCTTATGCCCCATCTCATTTGCATCTTGCTTCTGTCCTGGTGTATTTATGACTGATGCTACTTGACTTCATATCATTTAGAACTAAGTCATGCAGCATTCAAGGATAGATTTTTAAAAATAAAACCCATTCTTTTGCTAGTTTAAATCCAGTTTTTGTCCACTTGATTTTTTTATGTATGTTTACTATAAGTAGCCCTACAAGTAAAAATGGCCCTGAATGTATTTGTGGGTGTCTGACATTCATCTTCATGCTCATCTGAAACCTCAGATCTCTTCCTCTATTTCAAGTCAATAGTTCTACACATCTGTCACAAAGTTATTACCCGAGACCTTTTCTTTAGCATTACCTTGGGATTTCCCCCCACACTCTTCTCCTATGTTAGATTTTCCCTAGTGCTACTTTTGCTATCCCTGTGACTAAACACTGTCATAAACAGAGAAGCAAAGATTTGTTTTGGCTCATGGTTTCAGAGCTGTCATCCTGAATCTTAGTTCTGTTGAACCAAGTCTGGGCCTATGGAAAGGGTAGAGCAGTAGAGCAGCATGGCCAAGAAGCACACGATGGAGTTTGTGCTCTTTCACCTCATGGTGGCCAGGAGATGGGAAAGGCCCAGGGACACAACATCCCTGACACCTCCCTGTCTGGCATATATCTAGTGGAACCCCATTCCTAAGCTTCATTGCCTTTCAAAATAGTGCTAGCAACTGGGACCACACCCTAACAGATGAGACTTTTGGGAGAACAGTTCATATCCAAACAGGATTCCTACATGTTTTTGAATTTTATATCAGGAAAAGGCAAATTATTAAGAACTCACTTTTATGAAAATGTTTACATTTTACTCTCATATTTCATCAATAATTTTGCTGAGTATAATTGTCCCCCCCCAAACTCTGAAGACATTTCTCCATTGTCTTTCAGCTTTAGTGGTGCTAGAGAAGTTCATGCTACGTATGTCCTCATTCTTTTGACTAGGTCTTTTTCGCCCCTTTGAAAGTGTTCAGGCCATTCCTTTTTCCTGATAGTCATGTTTTGGTCGGACAAAACTTTTTAAAAGAGGTTTACTATTGAATGCTTGAAGGTATTACCAGCGTGGAACAAATCTGAACCACACTATTGGCTAGTTTATCAGGCCATTCAAGAAGTCTGGATTTGGGCTACAAACCTCCATGGGAACTGATATATCCTTCCAAATTTTTAGTGGCAATTTCTTGCCACACTACTCTTTCTCCAACTGGAAATGGTCAGTTTCCCTTTTGGGCCATTGAATAATATGAGAGAGAAAGAAAGAGAGAGAGAACAATAGTGTAGGTAAGAGAAAGTGTGTAAGTGTTGAAGAGTGTCTAAGTGTATGTGACTTTAAGTTTGTGTGTGTGAGAAAATAAGAGTGTGAGTGAGTGTGTATATGTGTAAGAAAGAAGGTGTGAGTGTGTAAGAGTGTCTAAGTGGGGGCTAGGGAGATGGCTCAGTGGTTAAGAACACTCTCTGCTCTTCCAGAGGTCCTGAGTTCAATTCCCGGCATCCACATGGTGGATAACAATCATCTTCAATGGGTTATGATGCCCTCTTCAGGTATGTCTGAAGACAGCGACAGTATACTCATAAATAAAATAAATAGACATCTTTTTTTTTAAAAGTCTCTAAGTGTATGGGACTCTGTGTGTGTGTGCGTATGTATGTAAAGTTGTAAGAGTGTATGATAATCTAATCTACCCTTACACTGAAGGTATGACCCTTAGTAATCCCAGGATACTGGTGGAAGTGAACTCACTGGACTTCACAGCTTGGTGTAGCCTTAAACTCTGTTCTTTGGCCCCATTTCTCACAATGCTGTGAAATCAGGTCTGCATGAACACCTTTCTAGGTTTCCATATTCATTCAAGGCCTGGCCTAAGATATCCTTAGTTTCTTGTCTAACAGTTTATAATGATTTTAAACAGCCAATGGTCTGGTGTTTTGGAGTGCATTTGTGATCTGAACAGTAAAGACAGAAAGGTGGAGGAGACCCCATCTTACAAAAGTTCTACCTCGTCCAGGACTTTAGGCTATCTCAGTGGAGAAGATGCATACCCTGTTGACTTCCTAGAAATGGAAGTCTATGTCACCTTTCTAATTGAGATTACTATTGTAAAACTCCTGTGCCGGACACCTGTAACTAATACTGACTTTGACTATTTTTGTCAACATTGTGAATCTAAGGCCCCCATCTATGCTAGGTAAAGTATCACACCAGTGAGCTATACGCCTATACTTCTCTCATTTTTATTTTCAGAAAGTCTCATTGATTTGACCAGGCTGGTCTTGAACTTACTCTACAGCCCCAGCAATCAGTGATCTTGGAATCCTCCTGCTTCAACCTCTTGATTATCCTTAATTATATTCCTGTGCCGCCATGCTTATTTAACTTTTTAAAAGTGGGATTCTCAGGATATAAATATAAGTCACTTGATTTTGCTGTATTTTATTCTTTGACAATTTCATATATGTATATAATGAATGGTTCTATACCTGTGGTTTGCCCTTTAGGGTCCCATCAGATATCCTGCATATCAACTATTTATATTACTACTCATAACAGTAGCAAAATTACAGTTATGAAGTAGCAACAAAACGATTTTATGGTGGGGGGGGTATCGCCACAACATAAAGAGATGTTTTAAAGGGTCTCAACATTAGGAAGGATGAGAACCACTACACGTGTGTAGGTCACATTCACTCCATTCTCCTCTCTTAACCCCATCCCATTTTCTCTGCACCTCTTTTTTCCAACACAGCTCCTTCTACTTTCTTACTCTTCTTAAAATAACCTAGAGTTAATTAGAGTTGTTTGCGTACACCCACATGCATGTAGGGTTATCTACTAGTTCATAAAAGACTCGCCAGTGGCTACACACTGGAAGAAAAATGACTCCCCATACCCTACAGCACGTAACTGCCAATAAATTCTCAGCTGGGATGGGCCTTGGGCACCCTCCCCTAGCCATGATTCAATGTTGCCAGGGTCTATCCTGTGCAGGGAGCCACAGCTCTGTGGGCTCATGTCTATTGAAACATCTTTTTAAAGTTGTAAACAGTGCACTAAACTGAGATGAATGTGTGAATCATGTTAGTCTTTGAAAAATTACATATTTATTAAGAAATACAGTTGGTTGTTTCCATTGCAAATAAGAACCAAGTAATTAAATGTTGTTGGTAGCGTGGGTCTTAATCGAGGTCATAGCGGTTGAGAGAAGGGAAATCCTCAATTAATTTGTACACTTTTTGAGACAAAGGAATTTGAAAACATTCCCTACCCCTTGTAATCAAATAAGACTCTAAAGGGATAAAAAGTGGATTTTCTTCTCATACCAAAGCAGGCTGTGGCCTACTTTTTCTGTTGTTGCAAAGTGTTGAATTGCATGAAGGTCCATGGATCCTTCCAGTCTAAACAGTTATGTTTGCCAAGGAGCCTTTTTGGTCAGAATCTGGTTTCTCTGGGTTGGTAGATCAGACGAATGTTCCTCTCAAGGACATTTCTTTAGCAGGTGCATTGTGATATTCTTCACAGCCAACATGGTCTCTGTGCAGGTTGGTTTAATGAGCATCTCTGGCAGTAGAAATCCAAAATGCCCAGTGTCTCGCAGTTCAAAAGCAAATGCATAGGGTATTCCATTTTTATAAGCCCAATCCATTGAGTTACCAGAGCTTACATCTAAAAGTTAAAAAGAGTCATTTCACTAAGGAGTACGCATTAATTTTCACAGACAGACAGACAGACAGACAGACAGACAGACACACACACACACACACACACACACACACACACACACACTCCTATATAAAATGCATGCTCACCAAACCCTCCCAAATTCTTGCAATAAAATAGCACTTTAATAAGAAAGATTTAAGATAGCTGGCTAAGCAGGTAAACTTCTTGGAGCAAAGGGCTTGAGTTTGCTTCATGGATCCCATGTAAAGATGGAAGGAGAGAACTGACTCCACATAGCTGTCCTATGTCCTCCACATGCACGATGCCACACACACTACTACACTAATGGCAGTTCTTCGGCCTCTGACTCGTGGAACTTACAAATCATACTTGCTATTGTCTTTGATCTAAGCCTTAGTGCTGTGCCTGTGTGATGACCTCAAAGTTCCTCAACCTCAGTTCCCATAGCATTTATCATCATCCTTGTTCTGCTCGCTTTACCCACCGACAAGCAATCTACAATGAGAAACCTCTGTTGTTCTTATTACTCAGTTCCTTCCTTTCAAGGTCTGAGAAATTGGAATCCTGGCTCCTGAAGCCCCCTTATCTCCTCCACTTCCTGTGTTCTCTCACTCCTGTTGAGCCCCTTCCTGCCTTCCTGTGGTTTCATTTGGCTATGGGTGGATATCTCACTAAAACTTCCCCCAGATCTTTCCAGTGCCTTCCCTGTCCTTACTTGGCTGCAGCTTCTCTAATGATCAACTTACCACCAGCTTCTCCGACTTCAGTCCAGGGACATGCATCAGAGAGCATCCTTGCGGAGGAGAGGCCTGTGATGTGCACTGTCTAATCACAGGCGATGCTGTAGGCTGTGTCACAGCCTGGTATTTACTGAACTTCTTTATTCTCAGCTTATCCCACCCCCCATTTTACCTCTGCCCCCTAAATGGTTAAGCATCACCTCCTCTGATGACATTTGAACCCCAGGCTTTCTCTTCTTAGCTCAGAAGAAGACATGGTGTTCTCTCTCTGTCTCTGTCTCTCTCCCTTGTTTCTTTTCTTCTCCCCCCTTCTCATACATGTGTCCTGTCTTGATACCATGTGATACTGCCATCTCTATATTGTGACTCTCTTCCAGGTCTTTGTGTCACCCCTTACATCTGCATTGGCTAAAATGCCCGACAAATCCCTCTTCTTCATAATATTGCCACACACCCCTGGTTGACATTCTTTTTCCCTTATTATTTTGTTTTGAGAACTCAAGGGAATTGAAAGATGGCTGGACCCTCAAACATGTTTAGGCTGGTTCTTGTCTCTGCTTGTGTGGTAAACGTGGTTCTTGAAGGTTACCAACAACCTCCTATCTAATCCTTTGTCTCCTTTTCTGCTGTTGCTGTTCTCTCACACTACTTCTAGCCTCTCAGAGCACTTGACATAGCTAACAGTCCATGCCGGTTACTCTCTCCTCTGACTTCTGTGGCCTCACACCTCACACACTAAGCTTTTCAGGCCTGAACTGAAAGCACAGGGTACCCTGACTGAAGATACCCTGCCAGTGTGCCAGGCATCCACTTCCACCTGCTGCATGCCTTCCCTGCTCCTCAGACTCCCTTAAAAAAAGATAATGCCAACACCTGCTACATAAGGGTTGCTCTTAAAATTAAAGGAAATAATAAATCACTTGAAAGCACTAGGATGTGCTAGGATCTGTTAGCTATTATTACTTTACTTATTTATACCCCAAAGCACCTAGTATATAGAGTTTAGAAATAATAGCCCCAAGGAAAATAATTTATTAAATGAATTAATATTTCACAGAGAAATCTTGATGTACTTTTTTTCCTCAAATTTCTATGATCCAGTTTGCTACACATGTACTACTGTTATTTAACCTCCAGAATATACATATTCATTTACTCAAACAATATCACTTTTTAAAATGCATGTGTATGTACATGTGCACATGTTCCTGTGTACATGTATGCGTCACAACATACATATGGAGATCAGAGTAAAACCTCATTCATTGCCTTCGACCTTGTTAATGCAGGGTTTATAGCTGTCCATAGTTGTATATGCTAGGATACCTGGCCCTTGAACTGCTGGAGATTCTCCTATTTCCACCTTTCACCCTGTAGTAGGCATATTGGCATTGCAGATGCTTACAGCTGACTCTGGTTTTAATGTGAGTTCTGAGGTTTAAACTCTGGTCCTGACTCTTGGTACAGCAAACACTTTACCCCCTGAGCACTGAAGATTGATCCCTGAACCCTGAGCACTGAGCACTAAGTCCCATCTCCACTTTGTTTTTCAAGACAGGATTTCTCTGTGTGGCCCTGGGTATCCTGGAACTTGCTTTGTAGACTAGGCTGGCTTTGGACTCAGAGATCCGTCTGCTTCTGTCTCCTAATGCTAGGATTAAAGGCACACAGTGTCACCACCAGACATTTTAAACACAAACATCCTCCCCCCCGACATGCCACCTATGCTGTCACCACCACCACCACCACCACCACCACCACCACCATCAAAACCTAACGGAGTCTGACTATGTAGTCCTAACCTATCCTGAAATGTGCTATATAGACAAGAGTGCCCCAGAACTCATATAGACCAAGATGGACTTGTCATCTTCTTTCCTCTCCCTCCAGAGTGCTAGATTCAAAGTGTGTATCATTATGCTTGGTAACAGTGTGCCTTTTAATATAATTTCCTAGGACTAGTAGGATGGACTCATTATATGAAGAGGACAGATGAGCGACCTGGTACCTTTCAGATTCCCTTGGCTTTGGTTAAAGACAGAAATTATGCTGTGGCTTCAGTGTCTGGATAGAGTACAAATAGAAGCCAAAGTCAGAGATAGCATGAGCCAAGCATTACCTCACAGTGATGTGGCAGGCTCATTTCTATGGTAACAGATTGTTCTCTGTAAATATAATAGTGTAGCTATGTCTTTGTACCAAGATGAAAAGGCTGGCAAGACTTAGACAATGACTTTAAAATTTCAATATAGGCATTACATTGGTATCAGTTGGTATGTGATGTCTTGTAAATACTACTTTCACTTTCAAGATAACTATTAAAGAGCAGTTCTATAGCCAGGCAATGTAGCTGGGCCTGGGACAGGGGAATGGTAAATTTAAGGTAAGCTTTGGCTATCTATCAAGACCATATTAGAAAGGAAGGGAGAGTAAGTAGGATGGTTAGTTGAAGGGTGAGTCAGAGAGAAAAATGACAGAGGGTAGAGGAACAGAGGAAAAGGAGATAAGTGGGAAGATAGGGGAGAAAGGAGAAACCATCTTAAAAGGTCAGCATGGACCAACAATCATGAACCATGGAATCAACTTATTGACACTGTGCCCTTCTAACTTTCAGCATGAACTTATTTGACTTGTTAGTGAGCAGTTTACCTTTGTTGAATAAAATGAGAGGTAGGACAGACAGCAAGACTATGTAAAGAAACCAAGGAGAAATTTGACCTTATCAAAGAACATAATCAGATGCTAGTGCGTATACATAGACATACAGCCTGTGATCACATGCACACGCAGACATTCATACATGCATGACTGTTCACTACATTTTCCCAGGAATGATAAATTGTAGACTCTGGAAGGTCATGAGGAATGATGTTATCCAATTACTCATGTTGCATCTGAAGAAATTAAAAACCAGAATTAATCGATACCCTGGCAAGGACAACACATCTGGCAGGCTTGGGAATAGAACTTACAGTATCCAAGTTCTTTCCATATACTGGTTCCTTTTGATTTTATGTAAAAGAAATACTTTAAAATCAATCTTCAAGAGAAAATTGAGATGAAGATGCTGGGTACGAAATGCATTTCATAGCAGGGATAGGGAGGAGAGGGACAAAGGGAAGCTGCTGGTGAGCTGAAACATTTACTTCATTATCTTCCTGAGGCCATTTCCACACTTACAGTACTTACAAATTGCTTAAGGAGCCCATTTGGGCACTTTGCACTATCAAGGGATCTCAATTCAGCTCTCAGTCATTACTGCATGCTTAGCATGTTCTCTGCTCAATATTGGTTTAAATTGGTACAGTGATTTCTGTCAAGCTGTGGGAAACTAAACAGGCATTGACTCTCCCATCTTCTTTGGCTAATCTAATAGTTACAAATTTTGCCTTATAGAGAACACACTTTGCTTCTTAAAGGGAAGTCATGGCACAATTCTAACATGACATGCATAGGAAACATACACAGTGTTTGGGAGGCAGGGCCATGTCTGTACCGTATCCCATGTACCGACCGAAGTGCCTTCACAGCTTTGTGAGCTGCAAATTCCTGTGAGGGCGAAATGGAAAGACCATGTCACTTATACTGCTGCACCAAAGTTTCTGGAGGCACTGACATATTGCTTAAACATTATTGGTGGTCAGGTCAACAGATAGAACAAATATGGTTTATAAGTTAATGGCTATATTTAATAATAATAATTTATGGTATTACATAGTACATTTTGCAACACACTTTATTATTTTTACAGCGCTGATGACTAAACACATTTTTGATTTGATTGATCTTCACACAAGCCAGTGATAAACAGTAGTTCTATTTTTGTAGATGAGAAAGGGAAGGTTCAATGAGGTTAAAGGGAATAAATAGTCTGGGGTTACACAGCAAAGAACGGGCAAGCTAAGACATGTGCTCATAGTTCCTGAACTTGCTTGTTTGATCTATGCTCTGCCCTTTAGTTCAGGCACACTTATTTCTGTGTATTACAAAACAGTTGACAGGGCCATGATAATGTCAATCTTATCTCTAATTCCTATCCTATCCCTTAGTAACATGTCTGTGTATGTAACAGATACTTAACATTTCTCATAGGAATGTTGAAGAGACTTAGTCTGTAAGAGTATTCAGACAATCATATTGATCCACAAGTATATATTTCAATAGGTATATACAGATGTTTCTGGATCAATTAAGAAACCACTAAGGAAGATCGACTCCCTTTATGCTGTGTGTTTGTTCCCACTAGGAACAAGAACATCAGTTTAATGATGCTTCCTGACTTCTGAGGTTACAGAGCCTCTCACGAAGCTAATTCAAGCTACTGCTGAGACACAGAAAGTCCAAGGTGGCATTGCCCCTGTTCAATGCCAAAGGTTAGGGGAAAACAACAACAACAAAAACAACAACAACAACACACACACACACACACACACACACACACACACACACACACACACGTCTCAACATGGTCAAAATCCTAAATGGTGGATCTTCCAGGAAAATAATTGTTCTTTAAACCTTTTCAGGTGATATCAAAAGAGCAGCGTTGGCAAGAGTTTAGATAGGTATTGGATGACAAATGACAGGAAGAGAAGCATGCTGAAACCAGCACACAGTTCTCCCATTTCTATTTGCCTGTGAATAATTTAATACTTCATTTGAAGCACCTTGGGGAATGTGTGTGTGTAGGAGTGAGCCCCACATTGCTGTCCTTGTTAAGCTCTTGAATGCACATGGCACTGTTTGCCAAAAGTGCTGTCCTTTGTGGCTGTTCCAGTGCAGGGCTCGAGGCACTGGCAGACCATTTAATACTGATCTCACTGATGGCGATGTTCTTAAGGGAGCCAACAGAAAAGAAATGTAAACATCGTCATGAGGAGTCTAAGGAAAATTTTCAACATTGTCTCCAATAGTCTCAGCAATAATCTATTATGACAAATGCAGATGTTTCTGCATTTAGAAGATTACTGCATTTTGCTGGTCGGGAGACTTGTGCTTTCATTGTTTTTGATGACTATGAAAAATGTATTAAGAAACAAAGCACCACTTTGCTTATTTAGGCAAGGTATGTGCACAATTTTAACTGTTCTAAAACCATCAGCATACAAAGTAATAGAATTTATTGTGGATTTTCTAAACATGTGTCATAATAATTCACCCCTTCTGTCTCCTCCCTCCCTATACACTCTCTTTTCTACTTTTATGCCGCATGTATTGCATTACCTTCTCTTCCCCCTTCCCCCTTCCTTAAGGTCTCTTCCTTCCTTTTCATGGTCCTCTTCATGTTTCATGACAGGTATATGCATCCCTGCTCACCCTCATCCCATGTTCCCTGAGAGACTTTAGATCAAGGATCTTCATATAAGAGAACACAGGAGGTGTTTGTCTTTCTGGGTAGCCTATTTTGTACTAGAATGATTTTTACCTTTACGCTTTTTTTTCCCTGCAAATGTCATGATTTTCATTTATATATGAACACATTTCCATTTTGTATATGGACCATATTTTTTTCATCCATCTATTGGTGGGCATTTATACTGGTTCCATTTCCTGGCTCTTGTGAGTAGAGCAGGAGTGAACATGAACAGTGACTTAGTCTTTTGGGTATGTGGCCAAGAATAGGATAGATGGCTGTTATGGTAGTTTTATTTTTAGTTTTGGGGGAACCTTCACATTGGCTTCCATAGTGGCTGTGCCAGTTTATGGCTCCACCAATAGTGTACAAGGGTTAGTCTTTGCCATATTATTGTTAGCATTTATTGTTGGTAAATTTCTTGATGATAGTCATTCTGACTGGAGTGAGATAGGTTCCCCGAACAATTTTAATTTGCAGTTTTCTGTTATTAACATTTTTCATATATTTATTGGCTATTTGTATTTTTTCTTTTTGGAAACATTCAACTCATTAGCCACTAATTTATGGGGATGTATTTTTTATAGGTGTTTGGGTTTTGTAGGTTTTCACATATTCTAGACATTAGTTTCAAACTGATATATAGTTGGCAAAGACGTTTTCCCAGTTCTGTTGGCCCCTTTACTTGTCTGACTGTTTGTTTCCATTGCTGTGTAGAAAGTTTTTGGTTTCATGTAACCACCTAACCAGGTTTGCGGATTACTTCCTGTGCTGCTGGGTTCTTTTCAGATAACCCTTATCTATGTCTCGAAGTGATATACCCATGTTTTCCTCTAGTAGACTCAAAATTTTAATTTGTCCTTTGATCCATTTTTGATTTTCTTTTGAGCAGTGAAAGATTTGGGTGTGGCAATTTTATTCTGCTATGCATGGTTATTCTTATTTCCCTGTACAGTTTGTTGAGGGGCTGTATTCATACCACTGAATGCTTTTGAACCTTTAAAAACAACTATGTTGCTTGTGTACTTCACAGCTTCTATTGCTGTGAAGAGACACTGTGACTATAGCAACTCTTTTATAAAGGAAAATATTTACTTGGGGTTGGCTTACAGGTTCAGAGGTTTAGTCTATTATCCTTATGGCAGGAAGCATGGCATCATGCAGGCAGACATGATGCTGGAGAAGCTTCAAAGCAAAGCTCTACATCCTGATCCACAGGTAGTAGGAAGAGAGAGGGAGCCACTGGGCCTGGCTTGAAACCTCAAGGCTCCTACCACCCCCAACAGTGACATACTTCCTCCAATAAGACCACTGACCCTATGGGGGAGATTTTCATGCGAATCACATGTGTGTGTTATTTACTTAAAATTTTATTTATTTATCTTTATTGTTTTCCTGTGCCCTCTATTTTACTCTATTGGTCTGTGCTGCTTTTGTTACTGTGGCTCTGTAATATAACCTGAGATGAGGTGTCATGATGTCCCCTAGCATTATTTTTTCTGCTTTGGATATTTTGACTTTTTTTGTCCTTAGATATGAATTTTAGGGTTTCTTTTTCTACCTCTCTGCTGTTATTAGACTTTTAAAAATTTTAAAATTATTTAATTTTTTGTTTTATGTGTATGATTATTTCTGCATGTATGTATGTGCATCATATGCATGCCTGGTACCTATGGTGGCCAGAAGAGGGCACCAGATCCCTCCTTTGAATTGGAGTTATAGACGGTATAACTTCCTTTGAATTGGAGTTATAGATGGTTGTGAACAACCATGTGGGTTGTGGGAATTGAATCCAGGTTCCCTGGAAGAGCAGTCAGTGCTTTTAACTACTGAGCCATCTCTCCAGCCCATGTCCCTAGAATTTTGCTGAGGTTTGTATTAACTCTGTAGATCAGTTTTGCTAGTTCATGCATTTTTATAACATTAATTCTACCCCTTAACCAGCATTAGAAGCTTCCGTCTCCTTGTATCTTCTTCAATAGAAGAAGCAAGGTTAAATAAAATGAGAAAGAGGATCAGTGGAGAAAGAAACTAAAACAGCAGCAATAATAACAATCGTAACAAAGATTTCCCAAGAAGTTCAAATGTACACATGGATCCATTTATAACGGAGGGGAGAGTTAAAGGGGCTTTATTTTAAAATAAGGGTGAGTGGGATAAAGTAAAAACATTACTTAAGAGTATAGTAAGAAGAAAAGGGGGTGGGACCCAGGTAAGGGAAGAGAGTAGCTAGAAATGGTTTCTCTGGAGTAAAGAAGCATGTAGATAAGACTAGATGATTGTGTGAAGAGTAGTCAAACATAAGAAGAAAAACCTAAATGTGATTGCAAGAGTGCTGCTAAAAGGTACGTATTTAAAAAGAGGCAAGTGTAGAAAAACAAAGCCCTGGAGACTGCAGGTTATACTCACCGGGGACTGCCGGCCAGAGGACCTTGTGTATTCTTATCTTTTTGAGCATCTTCCTAGTGTTGAGAGTGTGTTGGACCAGTGTCTGATGTCCTCCTGGGATGTCTGCACTTATGTTTGTATGCTGTGTGCTGGGCAGATTTCTCTCCCTCCTGAGATTCCCTTGAGATTCCTGGGGTACCTAATATTTTTGCTGCTAGAATTTCTCTGAAGTCCATTGAGAGGGGACAAAAGGAAGAAGCAATCACAGCAGTGTGTAATATAGAGGATCCGTGGAGAAGTGGAGGCTTGTCTTTGGATTTTCAAGCTCTCCTAAGTATCAGCACTGTGTTTGGAGGGGTCCAGCTCTCAGTATCAAGGCACACCTCTGAAACGTCAGCATGTGGAACTCGAAGTGAGCAGCAAACAGGGAAGGTTGATGAGAATCATCCTCAGTGGATATGGTTTGCTCCCAGCCACCGAGGGTGGGGCTGTCTTTGCCTCTCTCCCGCCTTAGCAGAACACTCTTGTAACCTGCACTTTGCTTTTTCATTGTTTGAGTGTTTGTTCCACAACTGTCTCCCAGGGTTTTCTCTGACCCTGGGATCATGGGAAGTTAAACTCAGTCCCCTGATTTGGGATTGTTCCTGGTTCTCAGGCCCTTAGCAGAGTGGCTCAGTTTTAGGATGGTGCCGTCACTGCCCGCTGAATCAGAGTCACAAAACAGAATTTCTCTTTACTGCAGTGTGCATTTCCACCGAAGCATCACTCTATCATCAAAACCCACCACTGACTTTGAGGCTTGTGAGGCCGCCCCCTCGCCCGCTCCGTGCACGTGCGCCAAGTCTTTTCACCTGTCTTTCTTTTTGAATGAGGCTTCTATTTGCTCCCATACGTATCTCTATCCTATCCCCGTCTGATCCCCACCCTCCACCCCCACTGGAACCATGTTTATCTCGGTGTCTCCCTTTTTACCGTGTCTCTATCTTCCTCTCTACACTTACCCAGTATATTATCATGACTTGCGAGCACTTTAAAGCTCTTTCTCTCTCTACGACAGAGTCTACTTTTCTTAGTTTGACTCTTGTCTTTGGCTGGGTCAAATGGAGGCAGCTTCCAGGCTGCCGTTTTACCTGGAAGTCTGGTCTAATTTCTTTGAGCTCACTGTGTTTCTGGTGTACTGTTTTACATACTATGATGATAAGTGCTTTAGATATGTTCTGTCCACAAAGAGTGGGCATTTCACACTCCCCCCAAGAATGATCCTAAGGGAGGCACAGTTAGATGAAAGATACCCCCTTTCCCAATCGTCTTCTCTTTTCAGTTGCCCAGAAGGACATTTGTGGATCCTCACTTAGGCAAGAGGCACATTTTTATTGGAATATTTCCATATTTAGTTTAATGATGACTTTAAAAGTTAGCAGAAGCTGTTACATATTGTTGGAATATTTTAAAGAATTTTAATAGGATGTAATGATTTCTGATTAACATTCAGAGACTGCTGGTTTCTGGAATTTTTTATCTTAATTTTAGTGATTTAGCTTGTTTAATCCCATTTCAGATTTTTCTCTCCCTGTTTCTTCCCTACCCCATATATCTTTGTATTATATATGTATGTGTGAGGTATGTGTTGGGGTTATGTGCCTCTGTGTGTATGTGTTTGGGTGTATGAGTATTTGTGTGTGTGTGTTGTGCATGTTTGTGTGTGTGAATTGTATGTGTTGTATGTGTTTGTGTGTGTGTCTTTGAGGCCTGAGTAGATGTTGGGATCTTCTTCTAGCACTCTACCACGTTCCTTTGTGGCAGTGTCTCTTCTTGAGCTGGAAACTCAGTTGTTTTTTTTGGCTAGGCCAGCATGTCCAACAATTCTCATATTTCCATCCCCCAAGCGTTGGGATTGCAGATGTGTATAAGACCACACCTGGCTTGTTACATGGGTATGGGGGATGTGAACTCAGGCCCTCATGTTTGTACTACAAGTATCACTAAGCCGTCATCTTGACAGGCTTCACCACAGATTTCCAAACAGTGTCACTCTAGACTTGTAGATTGAATGGTGAATTGCGAGGGTTGGGCTGGGGTACAGGTCTGGGCCTTTCAGCATGTTAATAGCATCCTTGGTGTCTACTCTACAGATGCCGATTGCATCCCTCATCCCTATTGTAGCAGTCTAAGAAAGGGAGTTGAATTATGGATGGGCAGTGATCTGGTTCATTGTGCCATGTAAAGGGAGACCTGTAATACTCTTAGACAATGGGTCTGAAGTCCTCTGGTTTGGTGGGCACATGGTAGTCCTGGGATGGGGCATGGAAGCTCTGTGGCCTCTGCTGAACCCTGTATTATCCTTTGGTTATCCCCAGGCTGTGTGTTTTATATGTTGGTAAGAGCAAATGAAGCATTTCTCTGGGATCTGTGAGTTATTCCAGTAAATTATAGAAACTGGGGGGAAGGTGGGTATTGGGAACCTTGGACTCTTTAGTTACACAAAAGTGTGAAATTCCCCTGCTTGAAGTTGGTATCTGGAGTGGATGATATCTCATGGGACTGTAGTCTTAACTTGGAGCCTTATGGTTACTCTGGGCAGTTATTGTCAGAACTGAACTGAATTGGTCACTTGGTTGGTGTTGGAGAAATGATGTTGGAAAAGGCTCTGCACATTGAGTGGCAGGAGTAGTAGAAGAAAAACAACCACAGATGTTAAGTTTATAGCTCAGTAAACGATCACAAATTGAACATATGCCTATAACCTTTCAGGTCAAGGAATAGAACAACACCAATAACCAGAATTCCCTGTGCTTCTAGGGAGTCACCCTCCCTCCTGTTCCCAATGGCAATTGCTATTTTGACTCCTAACACTGTTTGTTAGCTTTCCTTCATTGTGAACTTTATAGGCCTCCTGATGCTATAGGCTCTGAAACGGCTTCTTAGTGGTGAGTTACACTATGTCAGGAGCAGCTTGTTGCATTTGTGAGATAAAGAGAAAGACTCTTGTGTTTTCCTCTTATGCAATCTTGCCCCAGAAATCTGTTTGTCCTTAATACTAAAGTGTCAGCTGTGCACCAAGAGACTTAGTAGCATTAAGCAAACAGCACTTATAAATTAAAACTTGCTTTTAATTAATGAGTCAGACTATAATTTATGAATGATTATTGACTCAATAAAGTTAATTACAGCCTTGCATATATGACCAAAGCTATAATATTAATCAAATCCACCCCTACATTTTCTGAATAACCCATGATAAAAATGTAAAATCTGTTTGAAATGATTGCATTTGGGAGGCAGAATAGCAGTTATAAGCAACAATACTGGAGCTAGACTTGTAGATTTTGGATACAACTCTGAGAGTTTAGTCTAGCTGCTTAATCTTCCTGAGACTTAATTTTCTCATCTGTAATATAGGGCCAAGAAAATGTATAAAGACTGAATGAGTTACTTAATATAAAATACTTGAATTTTGCTACTATCTCTAGTACTCAGAATCACAGCCTTAGGAAGAAAAGCATGAAGCCTAATGCACACATACAAGAACACATACTTACCACACAGCTAAAATTGGGGATTGTCGCGTATTTGTAAGAATAGGGATACAGCAACATCTGAGCGTAGGCGTGAAAAGACAGGTATGCCCTAATGCGCTTCCTGTGTTTTCGAAGGAAGTGAGCTACAGCCTTCACTTCTGGCTCAGATTCCGGGAAAGGGCCACAGTATGTATCATCACAAGGGTGTGCAGAGGCTCCTTCATCTGCAAGTCAGGAAAGAAAATGGGATGAGGCAGGGAAGAGCCCAGAAAAACAAACAAGCACTGTCAAACTGGATCTTTTCTTATTTTTTTTAAATTGATATTGTTGAGTAAGTAATCCAATTTCTCATTTACAGAAATCAATAATGAACATTCTGAGTGGATACAAGCCTACGCATTGTAGGAGGGCCTGAGTGGGTGCAGCGCTGCTTGCTTAAAGCTTTGAGGAACATGAGCGTCTCTCTTAGCTGTTAGCTCTTCTGCTGGAGAAATAATTCTGTGTAATCCTGTACAGATATGCACCACAACACCTGCACTTTCTTTTCATAACAATGAGCAGACGTGTAATTAGCGCTCAATATTTACTCACTTACATTCAGCCAGTGTTTACACTGTCCTCGAAGCCCGGGATACAATGGAAACAACACAGAAAAAAGTCTGTGTTCTATCAGAACCCACATTCTGTCAGGCTTCTCTGTTAACACTTACCTCTTGCTGGCTGGATCCCTAGCAGCTTGAAAATATCTGAGAAGTGTTCTACAAACATTTATTGAAAAACTCAATGTCAAATCAAAAGGAAAGGGCAGATGTTTGAAAAAGTGTTTGATAATACACAAATATACACAAGTAAAAGTTACGATTTGATTAAAAAAGACAGTAAAAAAATACACAAATATTGATAGATTATGAAGACAGGACAGAACATAGGGCTACCCAAACTCTATTATATTTATAGATCAGAGAAGTCCACACTGATTTATAAAGACTGAGGGTACTTCTTATCATGAGGATCCACTCGTATTAAGAAAAAAATCCCTTAAACTAAATTTTATTTATTTTCTTTCTTTTAAGATCCAGGCTGGTATTAAACTCCTAACTTTCTTCCCTTAGCCTTCTTGGGTACCAGATGTGAGCTACCATGCTTGGCTCAAATTTTAATTTGTAAACATTTTTTCAATAACCATTTTGTATAGATTTACTAGGAAGTCTATACAAAACTAAGAAGCACTATAAAAGCCACAAAACATTGTTGTTCTAAGAAATTTTGGCTACAATCATATTTTATGTGTTTATTTTATATTGTTGGCCATTGTCACTCCCCTACTTATAGAAAACAATACCAGCCTCTGAATTCAGGGCTTAACTCAGGGCTTGAATAAATACAGTTGAACCTATTAGTGAGTTGGTTTGAAGCATTCATAGAAGGCAACAGAAAGGGATAAAAGACTGGAAAAATGAAACAAATAAAATAAAACAAGAAGTAGAATAAATACCAACATGATTAGTAGGAGACCTAAAAGGACAGAAAAAAACCCCAAAACATTTGAAGAACTGATAATTAAAATTTTTCCACAATGAACAGGAAATCAAACAGACCTTACTCTCCAAACAGAAGACATTAGAGGGAAAATATTAGTAGTTGGACACAGTAATGAATGAAGAAAGAAAGTAATTTCAGAAAAAAAGATGGGCTGTTTAGAAAGAAGGAGAGTCAAATTAACATTTGACTTTCTAAATATTCATTTTTATTTTTTTTCTGTGTCTTTGCTTGTGGGCACATGAGTGAGTATGCATGTGCATATGCATGTGTGTGTGCGTGTGTGTGTACCAAGTTCATGCTTGGTACCAGAGAAGAACACAAAGGGTGTTAGATCTCCTCCATTGCTGTAAGCAATGTATGTATTCTGGGAACTGTCGGAACTTGGGTCCTCTGTTGCAATAGCAAGACCTCTTAACACCTGAGCCATCTCTCCAGCCTTGACATTTGAGTTTTTAACAGTAGCATTGGAAGTCTTGTATATAGTAATGTCTATTTTTTTCTTTCAGTGCTTGCATCAAATGTAGAGCCTTGTAAGTACACCACCCTGAGCTATGTTCCTAGCCCTTGTTTTTGGACAGGGTTTTACCATGTAATCCACCTTGTTTTCAAAGTCTTGATCCTTCTGCCTACTCCCTATGGGCTATACCACCTCATTTGGCTTCGAAGTTTTTCTTCTTTTTTAAAGAAATTTGACTTTTGACTTTTTTTTTTAAAAAAAAAATCTAACTGTACTGTACTCTGATACACTTTGAAAAATTTCTGGAGGAAATGTTTTAACAAAATGATATAATAAAAGTTATTTTTTAAAAGTGTATAATTCAGTTGTTTTGAAGGTAATTTTAGAGCTGCATAACCAGTACTATCTAATTCTAGAACATTTTACATTATTCCAAAAGTATTACTTCATTAGTGTGTATAACTAATATATGTTAGTTACAAATTAAAAAAAATAAAATATAAAATAAGAAAAATTTCTAAAATATTTCAGGAAATGCAAACTAGTGGAACACAGAGCATAGGGCTGAGAGGGTATAAGAGTATGATGAAATCCTGTACTTTCTTTTTCAGTTTTTCTATTGGCATGTATTGTATATGATAATGGATTTTTTTATTGTAAAAGTTGTTTTTATTTGCTTGATGCAATTACCATCTCATAGGCTTCTGCTGAACAAGCTCACCCTCTCTAGTTTTTTTCTTTTTTGTTTTTTAAATTGGATATTTTCTTTTCTTTCTTTCTTTCTTTCTTTCTTTCTTTCTTTCTTTCTTTCTTTTTTTTTACATTTTCTGGATATATATATATATATCAAATGATAATTTTTAAATCAAATCGTAATTTTTACTTATTCACACAGGGGTTATAAACACAAAAAGGCAGGACGTGGGGAAGGGGATGACACTGGAGCGTGGGTGTTCAGGGGGAGTACAGATATCTTTCAGAACAGGGTATCGGCTGGGTGAAGGTTCAGGGGACAGGTCACTATGACTTTGCCTATGATTCAGTTGTCCTTATCTAAGTTGGTACTATCCACCAAGGCTACCTATTTACAAGGTCTATGATAACTCAGGCTGGTAAATTTCCATAAAAACTGCCTGTTTACCATAGCTTATAGCCATCTGTTTCAACTTATTTCCACAGAGACCTAAGACTTTGTGTTAGCATACATGTATGACAGGCCCATTGCTGATTTTAGGCCTATGGCTGATTTTAGGCCTTTAGCGTATAAACAGGGCTGCCCCTGACATCTCCTCCCTTCTCTAAGTATAGGCAGGGATAGAGGCCTGATCTCCAGTAATTGAAGGGGACCTTGTAATGGCTCCGGTCCCCTTGTCATTGTCCAGTGAGGCATGAGGGCAATACCCATCCTGATGTCTTTTTCCTGGAGAGGGGATACTTTTGACATCAACCCCTATGCAGTCAGGCTTGGCCCTCAGGAAACCCAAAGAGATATTTTTAACTTTTATTTATATTCCCTTGTAGTTCTTAGCCTCGCAGCCTAAGCAAGAATTCAGATCGCCAGTCAGAGGGGGTTCTGGGTGACCCCTCTCTGCTTGGTCTAGGGGCAGAAGTCTCCTCTTTTAGGTTGGGTAGAGATGGGTTTTGGGAACACCCTGGATAGAGTAACAAACTCATCTTGAGTCTCGTGGTCCTCCATAGCTAACTTATGATAATGTATCTCAATAGGTTTTGCTACCAAATTATCTGTTGTTTCACAAAGTTAGTCAGCCTATTCAAGGCCCAGGGACCAGAAGAAATAAGCAAAAATAACCCAATTAATGGTCTCAAGATGGGAGGAAGTAGGGTTGACAACCATGGAGAAGTTGAAAACCAATTCTTGTATCAGCTCTCGTCTTTCTCTTTTTCTTTCTGTCTTTTCTCAGGGCCTTCTCTGACCTTTTTCATGCTCTCTTTAACCATCCCTGTCTTGTCTATGTAAAAGCAACATTCTTCTTTAAGGGCTGTACACAGTTAAGAGCTGTACACAGTCTTTTCTATTGTAAAAGAGTAAATCAAGTCCAGTAAAGTCCTTTGCAATTTTTGGAGGTCTTTTCAGACAGTGAAACGAGGGATTTCTTCAGATTAGTGATGTCAATATCTAGCTGTTTGATGTCCTTGTCAATGGCCCATCAAAGGTCTGAGTAGTATAAGTTCTGAGGCCAGCATCTGGATTAGAACTTCTAACAGCAGACATCATGGGTGATTCATTTTTACTTGGAAAGGAAAAAGAAGGGAATTCTCGGGGAGATTTCTCTTCCCTGGATGTCAATTGTTATTCATCTTATTTATGGTTAGGCCTGGCTTTGTGGGGGTATCTATTTATTTCATTAATCTTTTTGGTATCCGGTTAGCTGTGCCTTCTGTGGTATCAAACAGGCATATCAATCCTCGCCCCATAAGAGAACTGGGTCTGGGTCATTCTCTTTAAGGGTAAATTTTTATTGGTCTCAGTGATGCTAGAGGCAGTCAGCAGCAGATTTGCCATGAGCTTTCAGTTTTAGAGAGTTAAAAGTGAACAAGGCATGACAGAGAGTATTTCAGGAGACTCCTTCTGGGGAGTACCGTTCTCCCTCTTTTGTTTTTAAAGCCAATTTTTCAGATTTCTTGTAAAATCAGGACAGAAGCACCAGCAGCCGCTCCTTCCACACTCAGAGAGTCATGAAGACACTATTTAAAGAAATATAAATCTATATTAATAATCTCTTTTATCAAAGGACTGTTATAGAACGGCCAGCAACTAATCAGATTATATATTGATTAATAATAGCTTCTTCTACTTTTTATAAAATTATTCATCTTTTGTCAATTAATTGTTGAGGGAAATTAGGATTTACAGCTCTCTTGAGAATATTAAACAAGAGTCTTAAATTCTTTTGTGGAGAGCTTAAAATAGGATCTTAGCCAATTAGCATCTCCTAGAAACTTTTGAAAATAATTTGAAATAAGTAAACTATCTTTTTTTTTTATTTTTTTGCCAGACCCATTATCTGTTTTTTAAAAAAAATTGGATATTTTATGTATTTACCTTTCAATGTTATCTCCTCTCCTATTCTCCCCCAAAACCCCTTATCCCATACCCCCTCCTCTTATTTTTATGAGGATGTGCTCTGAACATCCTCCCAGTCCCATCTCCCTGCTCTTGAATTCCCTAACACTAGGGAATCCAAACTTTCAGGGACCATGGCC